GTGATCAGCATCCTAATTTACCACCGTTGTCACCATCTTCGCTATTGCCACTAGTAATACTATTACCACTTACATTGTAGCCGACTGGAGCCAAGTAGGCTCAGTTATAAATTCTGTTTCTTTTGAGAAAAACAGGAAAACAATCAGGATAATTGGGTAATTTCCCATGAGCTGTGGAATGGGCAAGTACTTTGCAAAATGGCAAGACCAGTACTTGCTCGTCCTACCACTAATTCAGAATTTTTGTTTAAGGTCATCCCATGGAAGACATACTTTATGGTAATATGATAAACTTCCTTTGTCTTTCAACTTAATTGCCCAGCTCTAAACATTCAGGTTGATCAGGGAAAGTATTTTAATAAAAAAAATACTTAAGATATTTATATATATATTTATGCATATAGCAGTAGATATTTCCAGAAACAATTTAAACCTTCCCCTGTTCTTTCACAATCTCAGGCTGAGGCATCTTGAGTAGGAAACATTGCTAATGTGACTACATGATTTCTTATCTCCCATGAGGCTGAAGTTTTATGTGACTATTATGTAGTCACTGTAGCCGGTAACATTCTCAGGGGTCTGATGAATGAGGCATGGCTGTGTCATTTCATGAGTTGTCTAGCCCAAGTGTACTCATTCTACTGATGCCCATTGAGATAATTCAGGGACAACCATCCTTGTAACGGACTGTTTTTCTATCAGAAAATTAGGTGCTGTCCTTTCTGCTCTTTTTTTTTTTTTTCTGAAATGCTACAGATGGACTGGGGGTTGCTCCTACAATCAAAAGCTATAGAAAACAATAGTTGATACCAACAAGGCGTATCATCCTGCAGCTCTGAAGAAATGAAGCTAAACTCTGGATCTAGCTGCCAACAGGATGTTTGTCTTTGTAATCTCTTTCAGTGCCTCTATCCCATCCCAGGTTTTCATCGTCAAGAAAAGAATTAAAAAGGGGCCCAATGACTATATATTACCTTTGATTTAAAAAGACTAACAAACCTTTTATCTCATACTTTAGGTTGAAAATAAATATACAGTCGTCGAAGCTTGCTCTCCTTAAACCTTTATAAGCTAGCTCATCAATGTGTTTCATCTTGCCCCCAAACTCTTTTCATTGTTTGCCTACAAACAAATTTCAGATTTCTTATGAAGGTGTTCAAGTTCCCGATTATCCTTCTAATTTTATTTAGTGTGGCTCCCTACCTTCCCACTTGAATCATATTGTTGCTTTTCCATATTTTCCATAGTCACATTAAATGACTCTGTGATTTTCTTTTTTTTTTATTGTATACTTTACGTTCTACTTACTTTTATGTGTCCATTGTCACTTTTATGCTGTTTTGATGAAATAACGGACACAAACACCTTTGAAGGAGGTTTGTAAGTGATTCTGCTTTCATTGCCATAGTTATTAAATGGTTTCGGAGGCTTCAACCCGTGGCTGTACTTGAGCAAAGATAGGCAGTGAGCTTCATTACCTCCTGGAAACACGTGGTGATCTGAAGATAACCCGTGAGATCCAGTTTTCTGCTTCCATCATGTGAAGCCTCAGGATCAAACTCAGGCTGTCAGGGTCGGCCGCAAATGCTCTACCCAGTGAGCCATCTTGCCAGCCCTAGTCACAGTACTCAGAATTTTAAGTCTCTCAAGGAATGGAGGGTCCTGGCGGCTGATGCCTTTTAGATTGCACAGCTGTTTCTTCCCATTCTTGGAACCTAAAAAAGATGTAGAACCTGGTGCTAGGAGGGCTCCAGCCACATCTAGCATTGAGGGTTGTTTTTTAAATAAATATTTATTTACTTATTATGTATAAAATATTCTGTCTGCAGGCCAGAAGAGGGCACCAGACTTCATTACAGATGGTTGTGAGCCACCATGTGGTTGCTGGGAACTGAACTCAGGACATTTGGAAGAGCAGGCAATGCTCTTAACCACTGAGCCATCTCTCCAGCCTGATGGGGACTGTTTTGGTTCTTACTGTTACTGGGATAGAGATGAAGGTGAATCAGTTCATCTTCTTGGTGAGATGCAGGTCTGTAACATCACATCTACAAGTTAAGAGCTGTGCATCATCTTCCCTTTCTGACTGACTTGTACACCTTGGTCCACCACTTTGCTTTGGCTGTAGAATAATAGACTCACACAGACTGCTTATCCAGGCCTCACTATTGTATGAGCTTTAGGCTCTGCTATGAACCTAAGCCCTTCCCCTGTTCAAACACACACACACACACACACACACACACACACACACACACACAGAGTCTCTCTCTCTTTCTCCTTCCATAGACCCTGTGTTTTCCTCCCTTTTTCCTGCCTCCCTCCCTTCCCACCATGTCCATGTCCTGTAAGATTTCTCCAAATTCTCATGGAATTTATATTTTCCTGGTCACTCATGGCTCATCAAACTCTTCCCCAAATTTGCATGAAGGATCATAAAACCCTTAGGAGTGTAATTGTCTGCTAAAGATTTTGGAGACGTGACAGACAGGCATTCATGTTGCTACTAAACAAATTTAATTTCATGGATCCTTCTTTTCGAACTGTTTCTCCATTGGCTTGTCTTTAGAGAATAACCACAGTTCCCTCACCCCTATAATCCCCATTTACAGCAACTCCTCCCACGTTTTCTCCCCACTTGCCTTTCTTCTCAGTGCCACTGTGCTCTCCTCCCCTCCCCTCTCTTTTTCTCTTTGTCCTTTTTATTCCCCCTTTACTTGTGCTCCTCTTCTTCCCTTCCTCCTTCTTTCCAGATAGATAGGGTCTCCTGAAGCCCATGCTAGTCCTAGACTTGCTATGTAGCTGAAGATGACCTCGCATATCTGATCTTCTTACCTGCATCTCCTGGTTTATGCATCAGTGGGCATTGAACCTATGCTTTTGTGGATGATAGAGTAGCATTCTACCAACTGAGCTTCATCCCAAGCCTCAAGTGCAGAGGATCTTACTTGCCTCTCCTTCTTTTATACTAAGATATTAGATAGCTACTCATGCCTTCAGGGTCATACCATCTTGTACCAATGGCTATTTCCCCAGTGAGGCTGCTGCTGCAGTTCGTAAGAAAGTAGCAACAGTACCTAGTAGCTATGGCAACTGAGCGAGAATCACACCTTTGCTCCTTCCGTGAGGAGCTCTGTGCTGGGTCCCATCTAGTTCTCACCACGAGCCAGTGAGGTAGTCTAGCATCGTTAGTTTCATTTCGGTGTTGAAGTCAAGAGCAGAAAGGATTTTTTTTTTCAAGAGAATCTTTAAAACTTAGTGCCCAGTGAGTTCTTTTGTATTACTTCATCAACCTTCTACAAGTTAAGGATAGTCATTCTCATTTCAAAGAAAGTAACATTCAAAACAGAAAACTTAGGAGGTTTGCTCAAACCCTCAATAAAGAATGAGCATTGAAAGGTATTGACATAAAAAAATACCAACACAGCTTTGGAAAAATTTGTTCTGAGTCAACTATGAGTGAACGGGAATTAGAGTTGTTCTAGACAACTTGTGTTATGGGGAAGTTTACCTGTATGTAAGTCTCAGAGAAGGGAGTTGACTCTCTCTCATTTAGGGTTGAGGATGCCAGGTGAGTCCAGTTTAGCCCTACATCCCAAGAGTTATTATCTTAAAGTGAAGAGGACGTTAGGTCAGCTAACGAGGTTAATGAGACAGGGCAAGGAAAAAAGACCAGAGTCCAAGGCAGTCTGGGTTCTGAACCTGTAGCAGCCCAGCTCTCTGCAATCCCTGTGCTCCATTCGGCTGAAGGCAAGCAGGCTATGCAACCTTGACTGAAGTCTTGCTTCCTCGGGGACTTTCTGTGAAACTGCACAGTTAAGATCTAGGGCTCAGGGGCTTTTGAGAAAGTCAGGGTGTGAGTTGGTGTTCTCTCCCAAGTCTTAGCATCCAAATCCACAGCTTCTTCCCTAGAGTCCCTAATAGTTCAACCCAGTATCACATTCCATACCTTTGCCACATTTTACGTTTCCTCCTTTTTCCAGAATACTATCTACTATGTTTCTTTTATCTTTCCTTGGGGGGGGGCAGTATTAGAGGTTGTTACATTCATGCTCATTCCCTCCACATTTTCCAAATAAGTTTCAAGACAGGTCTCCGTAAGTTGCTCACGTGGGCCTCTTATCTTAGCTTCCCAAGTAATAAGAATACAGGTGCGCTTCCCTGGACCCAGCTTCTGTGTAGCATGTTATATATTTAATTACTTTAAAAGAAAACAGAGTGTCAGTTTCTTGGGGCAGATATATTTCTGTCTGTTTTAGTTGCTACTGATTTTTTTTCAGGGACTTATCCATGGAACGAAGTAGGTGCCCGACAAGTAGTTCCTGAGAAAGAATGTGTGGGGTGGCTGGCTTAGAGGGCCGGATGCTCGAACCGTGTCCCAGAAGTTACTTCGGTAACATTTCAGATCCTGTCCTTTTTTCCTCCGTTTCCACTTTCCTTGCCCAATTCCTTTAAGCAGAAGAGAAGCTGCTGTTTAAGTTTTGGTTAACTAGCCATGAGAGATCCAAGTTCTCTGTAAAGTTTCAACCGGATAAAAAGAAGAGGGCATACGTCCTTAGACAGAGAAGGCCTGCCGAGAGCACAGCCATCTTGTTCTTGTGGAGGAGTTTGAAGATGCTGAATCCTGGAAAGACTCCAGGACACGACGGTTTGGATAGTGTGAAAAGGCTCTAAACGGGATCAAACACTTGCTGGGGGATTGCGTTAGTTACTTTTTAAGGTTGCAATGCCAAAATACCTGACAAAGCAATTTACAAAAAAGTTCGTTTGGGCTCCAGGTTAAGGGTGCAGTCCGTGCCAGCAGGGAGGCGCGTTAGTGGGAGCACGCACCGCGAATCACATGGCACCTGCAGATAGGAAACGGAGTGATGAGCGCTGCAGCTCAGCTCGCCTTTCTCTTTATAGTTAGTCCACAATCCTAGCCCATGGAATGGTGCTGCCCACACTCATGGTATGTCTTCCCTCCTCAGTTCAACATTTTTGGGAATCATAGGCACGCTCAGAGGTGTGTTTCCATGGTGATTCTAAATAAAGTCAAGTCAACAATGAAGATACAGCATCCTAGGAAACCTCACACACCGGAGTCCTATCCAGATCCTCCTTTCCCATCTTCTTCTCTGCCTTTCCTGTGGGTAAGTTTAATAGTCTCCACTTTGATGTCCGTGCCTTCCTCATGAGCCTGCTCCCCGATTGTATTCCTTCATTTGCACGGCCACTTTTTCCATTTAGAAAACGAAGACAACTGTTACCTTGAAAGTTCGTCCGAGAGGTTCTAGCCATGGTAGCTTCTTCTGCATACCTAGCTGAATCACGGTCTTCCTTTGTAGGGGGAGGGAGTCACTGACGGATTTCAGAAGGATACACACAGAATGGCAATGGAGAAAGAGGACATCTGCCTACCCAGCCAGATCAGCTCCGTCAACCCTTGGAAACAACGGGGCGACGAATGTCATAGTCCAAACACCTCACATTTGAGAGAACTATATTTCAAACAACTTCAGTGGGGTTTAGAAGAGATCGTTGAGCTCATAGCAAGAACTCTTGAGAAACAAATCATAAGAGAGAAGTTTTAATATTAGAAGCTTGCATCAATATTTAGGTAAAATATTTTTATTACTCCATAATTTTACCTCTTTATAATTCGAATCTTTTATATTGTTGAAGCGACTCATTAACGTTTAGAAAAATGATAACTTTTTTTGCTATTAGCTGTTTTGATCTTTATAAGTTTTAAGCTATTACTATAAATTTACCTAAACTGTGAGTACATATGACTTTAAAAAACTATTATTTCTATTTTGTGTATGTAGGTGTTTCGCTTTCCTGCATGTATGTCTGTCACATTTATTCCTGGTACTCGAGAAGGCCAAGAAAAGGGGGAGAGATCCCCTGGAATTAGAGTTATAGAAGGTTGTGAGCCACCATGAGGTTGCTGGGAACTGAATCTGGGTTCTCTGCAGCAGCAGCCAGAGCTCTTAACCACGGAGCCATCTCTCCAGCCCTGCACGCCATTTTGTTTTTTATTGTGCGCTTGGTGTTTTTGCCTGTATGTATGTCTGAGTGAGAGCGCTGAATTCTCTGGAAGTGGAGTTACAGACAGTTACGAGCCGTTCTATGGGAGCTGGGAATTGAACCTGGGTCCTTTGGAAGAGACACTAGCACTCTTAGCTGCTGAGCTATCTCTTCAACCCTGCACATAATTTTTTAATAATAAGTGAGTTAATTTTCTCAGGTTAATATTCTCTTTGGGTCAACAGTGTGTGTATTTCCCCCCTCAGGACAGGGCCTTACTCTGTAGCCAGATTGTCCTTTATCTTGCAATCCTTCTGTCTCAGCCTCCCAATTACTATAAGTATAAGCAGGCAACACCACAAATAGCTGAATTTGTATCTTGAATTAACTAAAAATTAAATGTTAATTCATTGATTCAATAAATGTTATCAAACATTAATTACTCCAGGTACTCTCGAAATGTATAAAATAACAAGCGTCAATATGGGTCTCTTTTAGTTAGGGTTTGTATTGCTGTGAAGAGACACCATGACTATGGCAACTCTTTTTTGGTTTTGCTTTTTTGTGGGGTACACCTATAATCTAAGTGGTTGGCTGGCAGAGACAGGATTGAAAGTTCAAAAGTTCAAGGCCTGCCAGGGCTCCACAGTGAGATCCTATCTAAAATAAATAAACAAGAAGAGAGGGAAGGAAAATGTGAGTTTTCACAAACTGGCACACACGCTTCAGTATCGTCAAGCACTTCTGTGTAGACAGGGATCACGCCAACTCGTATAGCAGCAAGGACACACGCAGGCACTAACTCATCCTGCTGGCTGAGTGCCCCGGGAATTTTCAACTTAGTGTGGATTCTCTATCTTCCAGCTACTTTACCCACTTGGGCCGCTTCTCCCTGGACCTGCTTCCCTTCTCTCCTTCCCTCTCATCCTTTCCTGGGAGTCAACGCCCGAGAGGGCCAGTGAGGACACACTGTGGAGTCACAGAAGCCTGGACCTGCTGGCGTCTACTCTGGCTGCTTGCACGTTTTTTTCCCAGTCTCATGTGGTTGGTATATGGTTCACCACCTCGAGGGCCAGGACTTCTGCTTGGAGCTTGTTGGGAGGGACAGTGACAGAAGGAGCAGCTCCTTAGCAGATGGCTGGACACCAGACAGCACAGCTGGAGGTGGTGGGGCTCTGAGACAGCACAGGACAGACAGACAAGTCACTGAGAGAGGATGCGGTGTATGGGAGACAGAGCTGGAGCTGGGGAAGGGCAGCACAGTGGCTTCCTTCATCCCTATGCACAGAGCCAGTGTGCGGGACATAATGGACACACCATCGGCACCTCAGCCAGGCTCACCCAGGCAGCACCTGAAGCTGTGGATGCTGGCTGGGATTCAGATCCACAGCTGCCTGGTTCTCAAGCCCAGTCTTTTTCTTGTGCACAGGCGGCCGTCTGAGGGGACATCTGCTCTGGGACTCGGAGAATGGTGCAGGGACCTCCAGAATAAATTAACTGTCTTCAGAGCAGTGTAAAAGAACAGACAAAAATGAGAAACACAGAGATGACGGAAAAAAACCCATCAAGTTCTCCCCAAACTGGTTATCATTCTGGGCTGGAAGAGTATACAAAAAGATGCTGGAAACATGGCTGTTCTGACAAGAGCCACCTGACCAAACATCAGCTATGAGTTCTTGCTTTTAGCCAACAATGTCAAAGAATATTCCAGAACTGTGCTGCTGCTGCTGCTTAGCTGCAAAAGCCGAGCTACTTCTCAGTTCCAAATGTCTCCAGGACAGTCATGCTGTGAGCTCTGGAGTCTCAGTTTTGCTTTCTTTACTTGTTCGTGATCCAGTTGACATCTTCACTGACTTTGCGGGATGCTCTCGGGGAGACCGCAAACCCTGCCTGACAGCATGCTTTCAGTGCTCCTGGATGCCATTGTTTGGCAGCTGCTGGCAACAATGCAACATGTAATGGTACAGCTGCAGTGGTATCTGAACAAGCTCTGCTTGGGGTAATGGGGCCATCTGTGAGTCCCAGCCCCGCCTTCCCGGCGGATGCCAACTCGAGACTATGGCAACTCTTATAAAGGAAAATATTTAATTGTGGTGGCTCGCTTACAGTTCAGAGGTTTAGTCCATTATCATCATGGCTTGGAGAAGGCAGACATGGTGCTGGCTATGTCGTTATCAGAAGGCAACAGAAAAATGGACTGTGGGTGGTATCTTGAGCATAGGAAACCTCAAATCCTGCCCCCACAGTGACACATTTCCTCCAACAAGGCCACACCTACTCCAACAAAGCCACACTTCCTAAGAGTGCCAATCCCTGTAAACTATGGAGGGTCAAATACCACAAAGTCGTAGACCTAAGTCCTCTGTTCTTGTACCATCCATGGAGAAATGCTTATAGAGTCTACTTTTTGTATTAGTTTGGTAGTCTTGTGTTGTAAGAAGGCCGCTAGTTAGTTCCCTGCTGCTCGGCAGCTCAGACCTGAAATAATCACACAGAGACTGTATTATTTAAATCACTGCTTGACCCATTAGCTCTAGCTTCTTATTGGCTAACTCTTATATCTTATTTTAACCCATTTCTAGTAATCTGAGTATCTCCACGAGACTGTGGCTTACCAGGTAAAGTTCTGGCATCCGTCTCCAATGGGATACATGGCTTCTCCCTTACTCCACCTTCTTCCTCCTAGCATTCAGTTTAGTTTTCCCTTCCTAGCTAAATTCTGTCTTGCTATAGGCTCAAAGGCAGTTTCTTTATTCATTAATGGTGATCACAGCATACCGAGGGAAATCCCACATCACCTCCCCTTTTTTGTTTAAATAAAAGGAAGGTTTTAACTTTAACATAATAAAATTACATATAACTAAGGAAAACTATAACTATAAATTCTTCAACTCCACCGAAGACTCCAGAAGGATATAATATTACCTAAGTAAACAGGAAGTACATTGTAAGCAACTTCCAAAATTCTAGAAATGACAGAGACATCTTGCTGCCTGGACAGTCACCCAAAGTTCTTCTGTACTGTTGGGGCATCCATCTTCAGCCTACAAGCCCATACTATCCAACAAACTTTTCCATGAAGCAGTAAATTTCAAAGACAGTCAACCTATATTGGCAGTTTGTCAGTCACTTTCTTTTGTGTCTTGCAGAATGTCTGGCAGACTCTTTCATAAAGCAGGAACCCTTAAGGACTGTCTCACCTTTAGGCAAGTTCAACAGTCATTTCTCTGTGGGTCCTGCATGTCCAATTCATCAAGTAGTCCAGGAAAGAGCAGTTTCTTGCCCAAATGGCTAACAAACTCCATAAGGAGCCTCTTTGATGCCTGTCTTCCTCTTGAAGTAATTGATGCTGCCAGGAACAGATGTATCTCATCTTATTCTGTAGTCTCTGAAAGGTTTGAAGGATACCTATCCATCTGAAATACAACTCTGTATATCTAGAAAATCTAACTTACATGACTACAAGTTTGATTATTATACATTACATTTTTAAATGAACTATGCAGTCACAATACCATAATCAAGAGCAGAATACACACACACACACACACACACACACACACACACACACACAAAACACAAAACTGACCTTAATTTTGTATCAACAAACCAAGATCCATGCCATTGATAATCTTCCCTCTGGACCTGTGTGTATCTATATTAGTTGTTTTTGTGTTGTTGTGATCAAACATCTTACCAAAACAGCTAGGAATGGGTGTTTGGTTGAAAGTGTCACCCCAGCACCTGGCATCCATATACCCAAAGACTCTGCAATGTTTGGGTTCAGGCTTCACCTCAGCCCCTTGCATCCATATATCCAAAGAGTCTGAAATGTTCAAGTGGACGTTCCATCCCAAGCCCCCTCTCCTCAGAGTTGCCTGAGTCCAGACTCCACCTCCAAAAAACCCCACCAAACAATGACCCCTTCCCAGAGATGCTCAAGACCACTCCCACATGGTATTTAAATTTACCCCAGAGAACAAACAAATGGTTTTTCTGTCTTTTTTCCCAGTCTCCTCTTTGGGTGTGTTGGTATCCCTTAAACCTGTTTTTTTTTTTTTTCCTAATTTGATTTTACTTGGTCTGATTTGGATTATTGCATTGGCAGAGAGGCTTATCAGGGTACAGAAACTTTTCAATGGGGAGTCTTTATTTTGGCTTATGGTTTCAAAGTGTGCAGTAGACAGTTGATTGGCCTGCTGTACTTGAACAAAATAGTATGGTAATGAGACTATGTGACAAACAGCCATTCACTTCATGGCTGATTAGGGGTCATCAATCAAGGCAGGAAGTGGCTAGGGATAATATACCTCCCAAAGACCTGGCCTGCTGTCCTATTTTCTCCAACTAGGCCCCATTTCCTAAAGTTTCCACAATCTTCCAAAATAGTGGGACCAGCTAGTGATCTCACATCCCAAACAGGAACCTGTGAGGGATATTCATATTTAGCCTTAACAGTGTACAAATTTCCTCTTTCCATAAGGACACTGGCCACATTGATTAAGATCCAGATTATTGATTCATTTTAGCTTAAACTTTATTTTCAAGACCCCCATATACAAATATAGTTACATGGTGGGTATTGGAAATCAGGTCTTCAACATGTGAATTAATATGGGAACATAATTAAGTCCATAACAGTTATTCTAATGTATATTTTCCATAGATCTCAAGCTACCTGTCTAAAAATAACAAAATGCCTCTCAGCACATCTATTATACCATTTTTGTGTGACTACACAGTATTAGTCTGGGTATTAGAACTAGGTAGGAATATATCTACATTTTTAGAGTACTAGTGATTTTTATCAATAATTACATATAGACCAAGTTTTCCCCAGAGCTACAAAACAGCTATTGGGTGAGGGAATTCTTTTCTAAGAGTTAAGATGTTTTGGAAATGAATATTATATAACTGAGCATGACTTAAAGGAACTGCTAAAATTGGGAGCTAGATTTTTAACAAGAGATTAAAAGTTCGCTGTCTTCTTGCTGAGCCCATTTACAAACTTGGAAGAGAAGATACAGGTAAATAGCGGAGACACTCCCCACCCCTATCTTCATCATGTGATTAGAGAGCATGCCTAAGACTATTGCCCATGTCCCTTTGTATCTGACTTGATGCTAGACAGAGCTAGGACTTGATAGGCCAACCATAGCCTGGTTGCTAGGGGCATAATCAGAGGATGAGAGGTGGACAAGCAAGATGAGGGTGATGGGCTTGTTTGGCACTGCCAAGAGTGTGTATTCAGTGACGATAGCATTACTGACTTTGATTAAGTTGATGATGGGGCTTCTCAGGAGGAAAATGAAGAGACACAGGGCTCTGTAGTCACACAAAAAATGGTCTTAAGTATTAGGATGGTTTTAAGTATTATGAAACCTAAACTGGTTATGATTTGCTTATCAGGCAAAAGTCTTCCCATGCAAGCCTGATGACCTGAGTTTGCTCCCCAGATCCCATAAAAATCTGCATGTGGTGCTAACACTGTAATCCCAGCACTCCCATGGTGAGACAGAAGGCAGAGACAGAATTGTCCAGAAAACTGAAGATTATCCAGATTGGAGTACTCAGAGAAGAAGATCAAAAGATGGAAGAAGAGAAACAACTCCAAAAAGTTGTCTTCTGACTTCCACGTGAATATTGTAGTGTGTCACACACACACACACACACACACACACACACACACACACACACACCACACACCCATAATAAAAATGAAACATTTGCATACAATTTAGTAGTGGGAATGGACTGGGATAGGGGTGGGATGTAAACAGAGTTTTTTGTTTGTTTATTTAAAGATTTATTATGAATACAGTGTTCTGCCTGCATGTATGCCTGCAGGCCAGAAGAGGGCACCAGATCTCATTATTGATGGTTGTGAGCCTCCCTGCTGTTGCTGGGAATTAAACTCAGGTCCTCTGGAAAAGCAGCCAGTCCTCTTAACCTCTGAGCCATCTCTCCAGCCTGGAAACAGAGTTTTAAGGCTGGAGGTCACTCAGCAGTGGAATGCTTACCTGACTTCCACTGGAAGTGGCATGCATGAGGCCTCAATCCACAGCACAACAAAACCAAATCAAATAAACAAAATCCAGAGAGATTCTGTTAACTCCATCTGACAATGGTTACAGTAAGACATTCTGACTAGGAAAAGATTAACTTCCATTTGGCAAATTAAAACAAAACCCCTAGCAAGTGGGAAATATTCTGTTGACTCTAGTTGAGCTGAACAGGTGGTGACAGTCCTCAGACTCAAGGCTGTGCCTCACTCAGCATCCCTGATGCTATCTGTCTCCCAGAAATCTTTTCTGTTTTAGCATGAAAACACAGAATTTGCTCCCCAAAGTCTTTTAGCAAATTGCTTTAATCTGGAGCAGAAAATTAATATATAAATATGGCTACTTACCATCCCTCCTTCAGCAGCACTCAACAGAGAGCCCCCTCAGCTTTTTCAGTATGCACTGTGATTTGTATTATGAGCACCTGAAAGCACATCAGATATGATGTATGTTATGGTTTTCGTCTCTTTAAGAGACAAGCCACGGCCA